TTCAATCAGTTACCAATAAATACTGGCCTGAACTTCCTAGTGTATCCAGTTTTCCACCATGGGCATTAAATGAGCTCCAGAAGTGCTTTGGGGGGGGACTCAACGTTTTACTATAGGATGGAAGTTTGCCTACTGGAAACATTTTCAACTCACTTTTATAGTTTGTCTATATACTCTCAGATCTATTTTTACTTATTTTTATTATTTTAACCTCTTCATTTTTCCCTTAAAGTGTGACTAAATATACTAGTCAAGCATGGCAAAATGTCATCGATATGTTCTACATCTATTCCAACAGTTTTTTGAGGTGCTTCACTGCTCATACTGACTGAAGTAAGCAAGTTAAAGCCTTGGTGTTTTTATGGCTGCACAATTACATGAAAAATATATTCTCTAAATATCTTGTGTAAATCAATTCAAGGTGGGGGATTTCATTGGAAGGAGTGTATTAATCATGTGCTACTCTCTGTCATGCAAACACACATTTATTTGGATATGTAGAACCCATTCATTTTCACAGTGTGAGGTCGGGGAAGTGCATTCATTTGTGGAAAGATAAACATGACGGTATTGCCTCAGCTTTGCTTAGGTCAGGTTTAACCCACTCCACACACTCAAATACTCTGCCATCTTCATCTAAATAGTAAACACCTTTATCTATATATATACATATCTTGCATGTAAGAGTTACAAATGTGCACAATATTCACACATTTTGAGTGTTATCAGCTGCTGTCAGCTGGATGCTGTTAGAGTGTTACGCTGGGGGTTGGAAAAAAAGGAGAAGGGAGTGAAAGGAGGAGGAATGCAATCTCAACACCTTCAGCTTGTGCCCTATTCACCTTACATGTTGTTCTGCAGGAATGCCATTAGCTCAGTGAAAAATGGTTGTGTGTGTGGATGGATGTGCTCGTGAATGTGAGTGTACAGATGTCTGTGTGGTGTCTGAGTTGGAAGCAGGAGTAAGAGCTGAAACTAATTTTGGTGTGTGTGTGTCTGTGTGTGTGTCTGTGTGTATCATGTGAATGTTGGATCTCCTACAACACTTTAATGCTGTAAATTAAGTAGGCTGTGTGCTGATTGAAACCAGACGCTTTTACTCAGACTTCTTACACACATGCCAGCACATCGTTTCAAGGCACCTTTCTGTTTTTCCAAAGTGCTATAAATCCATTTAAGGTGAAATTAACCAAGGTTTTTTGTAAGTTGGCATCTTAGCGCTTGAGTTATCCACTACATAAATGGTAATGTCTAAATTGGAACTAAACTCTGTATCTTTATGTAGCTGTATATGAATCTCATGTCATTTCAGACGTTGCTCTCACACTATCCCTGTTTTTGACTGCAGTTTTATGAATGTATACTACTTCTCAACCTAACTTAGGTCAAGCTGCACTTTATTCTTGCCTCACCCTGGATAGAATATACAGTCATTTAGATGAGTGTCACACCACATTACGTTTATAAGCTTAGAGTGCATCACAGAAAAGTCATAGTGTAGGTTAAGCTGTCTTTATTTGGGCCAAAATCTCAGAGAGCCAAAGCAGACGGAGCATTAAAGAATTCCCCAAAACATTGGCCCAGGTTTGTTCTCATCTCAGATTTAGCATGGTTTAATATTTCATTATAACCCCTCTGGCTTAAAGGGCTTTGTCCCAACAGAGTTCTGCATCGGTCAGCACATGGCCCACGAACAGATACATACGGACATGCACACACACACACACACACACTTTGGCCTGCAGAGCCAGTGAAAACAAGGCCGGGCTCTGCCAGTGTAAACACGGTCCATTGTTATGGGCACTGTTTCCCGCCTCGTATCCTCGCTCCCCGTGGCGGGAGAGGTACAGCGCTGGCACTCGTCCCATCTACCGCAGTTATATTAAGACTCATTTGCCATACATTTATGTGACCATGTCATTATAATGCAGGCTCTAGAGTGTGATTTATGTCCTCCGTTTCTCTCCCTTGCACTCGTCTTTCTTTCTTTTATTGGTTCAGTTTTTACTGCTTGGCTCCTTTAAGTGTGGTTTGCGGCCGTTTGCTTCGAGACGTTTCAGCTTTTTGACAATTATTTTTAGACAAGCAGCCGTCAATTTGCTATGATGTACCAGCTTCTGCCAACAAAGTTAGGCCGTAGAGAAAAACATGGGAAACGGCTGTTCTAACGGATAGAAATCCTAATAATAAACAAGGGTGTGGGTGTGTGTGTCGATGCACATGTGTGCTCAATTTATGCACAAATATCAGGTGGGGCTTTGAGTGTGCATGCGTGGGTGTATCTCAATTATGTCCCTTCATTTTGTAAAAATGTGAGTGTGTGTCATGGCGTCTCTCAGCTGTGACCCTGGGCCACATGTGCAGCCGATTAGGGCCAATCAGAAGGCTGTAATCAGGGCGTGGCTTGAGGATGGTGGCAGCGTGGCAGTGGGGGAGTTTTAAGACCCGTGATTAGTGTGTCAGACTGATGAGGAAGGACAGGCCAAATCCCATTTCTTCATTTCCATGCGTATTTCACCTCCACATATGGGGGACTTTGTTTATTTAGTTTGTGCCAACCACGCTGGGATAAAGCAGGGTTTCAAATTCTTGGTTTTTAATCTATTTAGGCAACAGATTGGTGCGGTGCGCCACATGAGATGATGCAATTACAGAAAGGTATTTAAATGTAACAGTATACGTTTCTACAGCTGGCAACTCACCTAGCACCATATGAGTTCTCCTGATGCAGTACGGTGAACCCAGGCCAAGCAGGTTCAAAACATAGACCAGAAATATGTAACTACTTCTATTTGTCTGGCATCAACCTCCTGCCCTCTGCTCATGGCAACATGAAAACCAAAAGTTGGAACCACATTTAGCCGAGGCCTTTGAAGTCTGTGAGTTTCAGTAAACCGGTTTTGTTGATTGGCTCTCAGATGTTCTGCAGTAAGATAAGATCAAAAATGTCCTCCTCACATGTGTGCAGTTTCTGTGCAGTTGTCACAATGTAATATACTATGGCAAAATGAATTAGAGAGTACTAGGGTGGGAATGTTTGAACAATAACTGTTCCCATTGGCTGTACATATAAAGTCAGTCAATGTTTTAAGGAAGACATTACTCAATGTTGAACCTTGTTAAGCAACTGGAGCATGCAGAGTCACAGAAGCTGCACTTTATAGACTCAGTTGACGTTTTTACGTGTGTGTGATTGAAAAGCTCCAATCTGTCGAATGTCACTTTAAAATTAAACATGTTCTACTTATGGGTTACAACATCTATAATACTTATGTTCACTGAAACAAGCTTAAGTCGAAGAAGACAGGTATAAATGACAAGAACACGTTAACAAGCTTTTCTTTAAATCATAGCAGTTAATGCACAAACCACAAATGCTGCAAATGTATCTCCTTGGTATCAATCATCAAGTCAATCATCAATATATCCTGTCATTCCCGACTGTCAATTATTTCAAAAGGCAATGCATGTTATGTCATAAAATAATTGGTACCATAAATGTCAGTAGTTAAAAGTTCCTGCTCAGTCTTTTCATCATTGCGTACAATTGGAAAAACCTTGAAATGTTTCCAGGGCATTCGGAGTATCCAGGGGAGGGGAGCTTTGTGAGGTCTGCTGCGCTCCGTCCTGCACTGTGATTGACTCTTGGATAACTGCCAAAATCAGTCTCTGGAAAACTGATCAGAGTGTTTATTCATCGGCCTTTAAACAAATGGTTCACTTTTACCATAAATCACATGTCACAGTTTCACTATTAGTGCTCCCGTCAGCACAACCAGGCAGCTGATTGTTCGGCACTGCCTATTTGTTTGTCCGGCGCAGTGAAAATGCAAGAACGGCACAGGATGGACAGACAGCTGGAGAGAGAGTCCTCTGTTGGGCTGTAACTCAGCGCTGATCTGACTGGGCAGACACACACAGTGACCGGAGCGTGGCCCAGCGGCCAAAACCACATGTGAGCGGGCAGGAATGTAAGGCCCACTGCATTGTGGGTTTGTGTCTGTGGGGAAGGATTGCAGACTCCCTGACTCACAGGACACTGTGAGGTTGGGGGGTGTGAAGGGGTGAGGATGGAGAAGGAGGGGGAGGGCAGCAGAACTTTCGGGAATCAGAGTGCAAGTTCAGGAGGAGTGTGAATCATCATCATGCTGTCTCGTTTACAGCTCCTTACTCTACGATCACAACATCCTCTGAGATTTCCCTCTTAAACGTTTTCAGGATCTCCTGTGAAATATAGATTATGAAGCTTTATGTACACAAGAGAGGAGAATATCCCATGTGACAAAAATGATGTTATTGTAGGTATTGTCTTGTATAAATATATAAGATTAAAGTTAACCCTTTTAACTCGGCAATACAAATGGTCCACCGATGCCTCGTTGCAGTATCTTTAAATGCTTTATACCCTAAAAGGTTATGTAAGTAAATAAACCATAATTATTGTTAAAAGTATTGAAATTGTGATATGAATTATAAATATATTGTCAAAAATCAGACATGTTTTACCAAACAGCAACAAAACAACAACATTGAGTTAGATGTAGAACTATACCCAACATGTTTCATTCATTCAATAAGCTGTTTGAACGGTGTACATTTTGAAGTGTTTGAGATATGGTAATTTTGTTCGGCAGAGTGCGAAAGCATTTGTGGTTTAATGACGGTACACTCAGCATATATGGTATGGTTAAATGATAAGATGACAAATGATGTAATCTACTGGTTTCCGCGAGTGTAAAATGTCATGATGCATAATGCTAAATTAAGATAATCATACAAACGTTTTCAAAGGTGGTCAAAAACTAATAAGAGTAGCAATACCAAGGAGTTCATGCTATAAGAAAATCCCATATCAATATTGATCAGGCTTTATGCAGAACAAGAAATGGAAATTGCTATACATCTCTGTACATACCGCAATCTAATAATCCTCTGTGTCTTTCTTTGTTTCCCTCATCCCCAAATCCCCTTCTTTGCTCCACCTTTCCTTCTCTTTGAAGTGCCAAAGACGTTGCTCCAGGAGCAGGGACCCAGACCCCCGGTGTTCTCCCCTCCATCCAGCGCCCATGACCCCAACATAGTGGGAGACAGCCCTCCAGAGGGGAGCTCAGTCAGAAGCCCCGACGCTGTTCCAGGTAAGCAAAACGACATGAGCTTTTTCACTCTCTCTCCCCCCCAGTGACCGACACTCTCTCCCAGCCCCCCATGGCCCAGCCCCCCATGGAGAGCAGTTAACGCCAAACAGTCCCGAGGCCTCCCAGGCACCAGCAGAAACAGTCATTCAGGTTTTAAGTCGGAGCATATATGTATGTATATTTAAAGTCACACGGGTTCAACTGTTACCATATGTATCCAAGCAGAGCCATCGGTTTGGACCATTTATGATCATTGGTCTTAAAAATATACGGCTTTTCAAGAGCCAATGATGTGACCACAGTCTAAATCAGTCTGCCATACTGGCCTGCTCCCTGAGAGAGACGAAAGACGAAGAACAAATGAAAGAACGAAAAAAAGAAGACGCCAGCAAGGAAGGAAACTTAAACAAAGCTTTATTCATGAGGCATGATGGCCTGCGTCCAGCACACTAATTACTCTGCTCAGCTACCGGCACTGTACTGATTAGGAGGATAGACGGATGAATGAGGAGCTAAGAGAGGTAGGAGATGTGTGCTGGCAGCTCCTGACGCATGAATGGCTTCACTTCCTCGCACCGGGCTTCAAACACTCACCTGAAGCTCGTCTAGAAAAACCTGTTTTCATCTCCAATAGGGGATGAAACTATGAACGCGGAACAAGAAACATTTGACTGTAAATAAAGGTATCAGGATCTTCACGTTTATTCACCTCATTTCTCTCATAAGTGTAAAATAAACAGAATCAATCTTTTTACTTGACCGTTATGTTACCATAATCCTGGACCAATTGTATAGCATACTGTAATGCTTAAATAAATAGTTCCACATTTTGGGAATGGGGTAAGATGAGAACAGTCATAAATGCAACTTCTTAAAATAATACTTTAAAAATTCGAACACCACTGATCAGGGTCATTTTGTACAAATGGACTCACCCGTTAAAAAGGTTTAAGAAGTTTAAGTTGTAAACCACGACTTTTTATTGTCTCCATCTTTGGTCCTCACTGCTCGTTGCCGTGGTGTTTCTCCACTGCGATTCCCAGAGATCATTGGGCCATTATAGAGAAAGTCTCCGTTTTTTTGTCTCTTAAACCGTGATGACGCCTAAATCTGGTCATAACTACCCAGTTCCCTCATGTCTTTTATTCATTATTAAGCCTTACCCTCTGTTGCTGATGCTAAAAACATCAAATACTATTTATTTCTCTCTATTACAACAGCAGTCAAAGACATTTTGAGTACTGGAGAAAACATGAAGAGTAATTTGTTGAAATATGTCGTTTTTTTGCGGTTGTTTTAATGTCCGGTTAGTGCACCTCACATAAATGAAACACTATTTCCGTTTATGTTGTTCATATTATTTAACAATTTCGATTTTAGGAAAGAAATAAACGGATTATATGTTATAAAATGTAAAAAATATTCAATCAAAAGAGCAACCACTTCATTTACATAATTATGTTTAGTTTTATTTCTAGCCCTGTAAATGTTTTTCTTAAGGATACGTCTGCCTATGTTTATGTGTGTTAGAGATTGCTGCATGTTGTTGGTTGAATGTTAGCTCATGCACCACAGCAGGGGGTCCAGGTGGAAGCATTTACCTCCTCCGTAAGCAACTCCAGTCCAAACTGCATTTATCCGATAGAAAGAGCCTGACTCACCTTAAGAGAGACTGTAATTAGAGGTCATTGGTGTGTGTGACAGTCCACCAAAGTATGCTCACCTGCAAAAATCCTGCATGTAAATAAGACTAAACACAGATTTAAGGCTCTGATATTGAAGTGAATGCTTCTGTTTATTTTGGCTGTCGTAGCTTAAGGGTTGTGTTTTTCAGTCAGGGGTTGCTTATCCAAGAAGCTAAAGTTTCAGTAGTAACATATTCCAAGTAAACACTTCTTCACGTTAACAAGATGCGACTACACTCAGAAAAAAGTATTCAAATCCTTCCTCTTGCATACACATCGAAGCCAGCATGTAAACACAGAAAGAAGTCCTACTGTGATGAAGGAGAGAGAGAGAGAGAGAGCAGGAAACAGTTGTTCTCTTCTATAAATAGATTGTTTTCTGAGATTTTTGGGAAACTTTTGAGACGTTGCCAAAGTGCAAACTTTTCCCATGTGGGTCTCTGTTCTCTTTAATGACATGAGTCAGTATGAGTTTGACAGAAGCGGATGTTGTGTGTGTTATATTCTGGATCCCACAACTCTCCGAGAACATGTGTGCGCCTTCGTGCGTGATGCATCTTTTATCAGAAGCTTGTGGCCTAGATCAAAAACCACTGAGAGACTGGTGATGACTCAGCAGTCTGAACGCTATAGTCACAACACACACTGACTTTACTGTAAATTAGCTCATCTGACTGTACATGCAGTCGTGAACTAAAACACATCCTTGTGTGTCATTGCGTGTGGGCAGACACAGATTGAAGTTCTATTTTGAAAAAAAACATGACTGTCTCAATAAAGAATTCAAATGATAAACGAATTAAAATGTAGTCTGCTTTGTGTTGTTAAACTGAACTTTTCTGCTTTTTCAGAAAGGAAGAAGGTCAGGGAGACCAACCCCGACGAGGAGAAGCTTTCAGAAGCCGGAGTAGTAGTAGGAGGAGGAGGAGGAGGTGGAGGAAAAGGAGGAGGTGGAGGAGGTGGAGAAGAAAGAGAAAGTCCACCGCCCCCCCGAGTAATGAATCCCATCATGAACTCCACGTCTAGCTCCAACATGGCCCTCATCAGCAACGCACTGGCAGCCTACACTTTCATATCAGGTAGGGCAACTTTATATAATCATGTGTGACATCACATCACAAATTAGACACCTTAATCTGATCTCTGACCTCTATCAGGAAAATATTACATTTAACCACAGAGATTATTATTAGTGGAGAAAATCTGAATCAGAATCCCTTTATTCGTCCCACAATGGGGAAATGAACATTGTTACAGCAAAGTATAGATACATTTAAAAAAAAAAAATAGAACACTATTTTATATGAGGCATGCACATAGTATTTAAAATAAAAATGATAACAATTTACAGAAGTACACATTCAGGTAGTAAGTCGTCTTGAAAAAGAGCTGGATAATAATGTCAAGGGGCGTTTCAGCTCGAGATTACTCCATGGGCAGGACAACATTTGTCATTTGTCATTTGAGTGCATGGCTTCATGTGAGGTACATGTGTGTGGTACGCTATCTTTTGGGTAAAAAAAACCCTGTTTTCTTTTTCCTGGAACTGAAATTTGGGGGCCAGAGGAATGCAGATGTTAGGCCGAGATAAAAGCTACACACACACACACACACACACACACTGTCAGTCACCTGCTACAGCCAGCTGCTTAAACATATGCTGCAATCATATGGGGGTTTGGATACTTCCTGTTTTATTGCCTCAAATAAACAGTTTATACTTAGTGAAAGGCACAAGTTATACAGTCAAATAAACATACACTGAAATGTTTAGTGGAGGCAGAACCTGTGTAGGGTGGGCTCAAAAGGGGTTCTTATATTTCTAAGCTGCCATTACGTTTTTAGACCGGCATTTTAGAATTCCTTTTACTGAGGAATATAAGACCAATACAAATCATTTATGACCATCAAATGTGACCTTTCAAAAAAAGATAAAAAGTTAATTGAAACTCTGTTTAAACATGATAGTAATATTTGCAATTGTATGCCTTTTTTATTTGTATTTCTCAATTGTCTGAGGTTTTTAAGAGCTGTAATCCTCAGTTTAAACAGAAAGAAATGAGCTTGGAGCAGTACTGTAAAGGCATGTGTTCTGTATGAAATCAACTAAACCTTTTTTGTCGTCTGTCTTTCTTCCCCCTCAAGACCACCCAGAGAGGGCAGCGCTCTTCTTCGTCTGCGGCGTGTGTTTGGGCCTCTTCCTCACACTCTTCGCCCTGGTGGTGCAGATCTCCTGTCGCACCGACTGCCAGCCTCGGCAGCGGCCTCCTGCCAAGAAACGAGCGCGCCCTGCCGACTCATCCTCCGAATCAAGTGACTCGGACTCAGATTGGGAAACCACCTCAGATCTGTCGGCGCGGCGACACCGGCGGTTTGAACGCACGCTTAACATGAACGTGTTCACGTCGGCCGAGGAGCTGGAGAGGGCGCAGAGGCTGGAGGAGAGGGAGCGCATCATCCGAGAGATCTGGATGAACGGGCAACCTGACATCCCCGGGACACGGAGCCTCAATCGCTATTACTGAGGACTCTTTAGGGGCTTTTTTATGTAAAGCTTACTTGACTTGAACACAATTTAGGATGCACTTGGGTTGGGGCAAGAGACATGGTCCTTAAGAAGCTTTATAAGCAAACTGTGGACTCACTGATGAGAACAGGGGAAGGTATTGGAGATGCAAGGAAAAGTCCTCCCTATTTGCTGGTTTGCATATTCCTCTGGGTATCATAAGCTGTACCCCATTCAGTAAGAGAATAAGCTCCCACTCTGCATGGTAAGCTCACTTCTTTCTGCCGGAAGCGAGGGGTGAAAGGCTACAGCGCGTCGCCCGTGACCTCAGCAGGCCGTTTTGAAGTAGGGATTTATGGGTTAGCTGCCTTAGACACACACAGGCCTGCAGAGAGGGCATAGTGACTGGAGGACCAAGGCCTCAGATGGATCTGTTTTATGCAGGGTCACCTGAAAAAGACTGGGACACTTGGAGCTTTATGCTCAGCACCCTCCAGTATTCAAGGTTGGACTTTACAGAGGGGCGGCATAAAGCAGAAAGAAGTGTACTATGGGACAATGTAAGATAATCTTTCCACAGAAAATAACCACGCTGCCTTTTGAACTTTCTAAAAACCAAAATATATTTTGGAGGGAATTCATCTCATCCATTATGAAATCTATTTTATAATATTTAATAGTTTATTGATGTTGTGTATTTTTGTTCTCAAGTATGGTTTATTATGAGATATTTTTATACTTGGCGAAGGTTTGTCTGGCACCTCAGGGATGCAATCCTAGTGTTTCTGTGTTTGGTTGATGTATTTGCTTCCTAAGAAGGGGATCAGCCCATTTAAACAGCTAATGTCAGCATTTAAAGAAAAAGAAGAGCCTCAAAGAGGTTTAGTGATTTTATCTTATTTTTGATACAGTATGTTTAATTCACAGTGCGGTGCCTTTTCTAGCTATTAGGTCACTGTTGTCATGAGTGCAGCTGGTATATAACCCTATAACTGGTCATATTGGATATTCCAAATTTAGCTTATCATATATGTATTCTCGTTTAATGATTACTGTTGCTTTGCCGAAGTAGAGCATGTGTAAAATATGTCTGTCACACGTTGCACTTGCTGTTCTCCCTGGATGTAAATGTTCATAACCAGAATATGCCAATTTTGTACCAGTAAATACGCTAGAGATCATTTTTCTGGTCGTCACCCAAATTTCAGGTCAACTGTGCCATTACTTCTAAGGTACCAGTGCTAAACCAGATGATTGTGGTAACCGCTGCTCATGGCCATCTGGAGAAGGAACCAGCTCTGAAAAAAGGTTCACAGTGCACGAGCAAATCTGCGTCTCTTAAATCATGTTGCCAGTTCTATAAAATAAGCTATTGTCAATCCAGCTCTGTGTGCACTGCCCTGGATTCCAACATAGAAATAGTTATAGTTTTCTTTAAAAAAAGCTTGGTATTTTTCCTGACTGAAAGTTTAAATGAGAGTATACAGGACATATTAGGGTCATCCACATAAAGACTGCCAATATATATCGTTTTTTATAAAGACAGTTTTTGTGTTTGAATTTGAATGGATAAAATGTGCCGATAGCTGGTAAAGTGAGACCAAATTATGACTCCTGTGTTTGAAATAAACTGTGTTAAAAAAAAACTTGCCCACTGTTTGATTTAATCTTGCACATGTTCATGTTCACAATGCTTGTATTATAGCCCAATCATGCACACTACATGCTCTGTACTATGTTCTTACTGTTCTGATCTCATACTAATGTCATGCTACAGAAATAGAGCGTAAACAGTACAGTAAGGTCATTATATCTCACAAGATATGTGTTTATGATGGATGTGATGGATGACATATTGTTATTGAGTGGAGCGAGAAGTGTTGGTGTGTGTCGCCCCCTGCTGGTGAAGTAAGAACTCTTCAGTTTGAGTGCATGGATGCTTTTATATTTATTTTTGAATGCCTGTCATTAAAAAGATCTTACTATTCTGGACGTTTATTTCATTCCTTTTGTTTCCACTTTGAATATCATTTAGTTTTCATAAATATTTGTTTTCCTTTAACATTTGCTTCAAAATGTTGCTGTCGTTCCGTTTCCATGGATACAACAAAAATAACAACGAGGTGGTTGTCTGTCCGAGTTTTACACGGTAACAAAAGCTAAAACCTTGTGTAGGTTCGAAAAAATACTACGACACCGGCAATGTCGTTGAACATGAATAGCAATTTTCGGGATGTAAGGGTAAGAATATAAAAAGTTACACCTAAACTTGCTAGGTTTTATTTAATGCAAATGTTGCAAACTTCGCTATACGCTTTAAGTCTCTAACCTTTGGGGAAAATGTGTCAAATGTAATCTTAGTGGGGAAGAGAATTTGCTGTCCTCTTTATTTAGCCTAATGCAAAGTGCATTCCTATAGTATACAGCAGAATAATTTCCGCAGTTTTGCTGCCATTTCGGTACTATTCAGAACTAACTAACGATGCTATTAGCTATACAAGTTACAATATCAACTGTTCGGCTACTTTTATATTGTCATTGTCCGTGGGACAGCAGTGTTTTCTCTAGAAACCGAAGTGTGCGTGCGTTAGTGTGCGTGCGTGTTTGTGTCTGTGGCGGACACCGGCTCTTAAGATATGATGGTGTGACATTTTAGCAGCGGTGCTCATAACATGAATATTGGTGACACAAAGTCAGGGCAACGATAAACCTGCACTGAAATGAACTAATATGAACTTCTCCATATTTGCCGTAAAATTATGTTTACGGAAGTAAAGATATCTCTCGGCTGGGATTGGTTGTTCCTCGTCACATGACTAATAGTGCACCACCGGCTTCGTTCCAAAAGTTTAACTATTTTCAACTCCGCAACGACGTCCCTAACATGTTTTGAGCGCGTGTTCATTGAAAACAATGGAAATGACTGCACACAAAAACGCTCATGTGCAAGGCCTATAACTGTTCTTTGAGTGTAGTATCTGTGATTTAAAGGGGACCTATCATGCAAAATGCACTTTGTGATGTCTTTTATACATAAATAGGCTATGTGTCCCCGGTGCGTCGGGGAACTCACGCAGCGTCAGAAAATAAAACCCTCTCTTTTCCTCCGTACCCAAATCTTTTCAAAACAGGGCGGGCGGATACAGATTTGTTTCTGATAGCAATTTTCTGTGGGTCCGCTGCCGATTTGACGTCAGATCGGCAGCGGACCCACAGAAAATTGCTATCAGAAACAATGCCTGACGTGTTTTGGCCGTAATCAATAATGTACCCCCTTTGAAATTCAGCCAAGTACCCCCTGATCAGCGCAAAAACAATTTGTTAAGGAAAAAATGCCAATATAAAGAGGTACAGTACAGCACTGCACCATCAGTGTCTGATTTATTAAAACAACAACCTTGTAACTGAGAAACACTTAAATGCTACATTTCAAATGTTTACAATCCATCACTAAATTCATGGCAAACCAATTTGAACATCATGCAATAACACTAAGACGACATTAGTTGCATTGAACTGATCTTTTTAATAAGTTGTACTTACAATATAGTGAGAAACATGGGCTTGTGCTTCACTGAGGATCTTTGTCATTCTGACAGGGAGGCAAACTGCAGTTATTACACTTCGCATTTTGAAATATGTGTAACTCTGTTAATATAAAAACCACACTGCTCAAACTTCGTTACTTTTCCTAAAATTGGTATATTTATTTATTTAGGGGCGTGGAGAATGAAGAGAAAAAAAGATGAGCATTTTATGAGCATGGGATTTTGACCCCTCATATAAACATATGCATAATGCTGCGCTATACTTTGCAGCCACAAGCCGTTGCCAAGCAACGCTTATTGTTTAGGTGTCCTTTGATAAGCAGGCAGTCATATCATTAGCTAGAACTAGCTAGATCTGATAGATTTGGACATAAACGCGAGTGAAGTATAACCGGACGCGAGAGAGAGATCAGAGATCAGATCAGCTGCTGCTGACGGAGAACACGCAGCTCTGCATGATCACAGCTCCGCCGCGGACCGTTGAGTGGAGCAAAATTAAATACACTAAGAGTTAGACCTAACACACTTAGCTAGTTTATCTACTCTGGAACTAGCTATACTAGTTATAAATATGTGTATTCTTTACTGTCGGGTCACTTATTACAGGTTCAGCGAGCTGCACGAGACTGACGGGCTGTCAGGAGAGGGAGAGGAAAAGAGAGCACCCCGTTTATTTTTCCCATTTTATTATCCAGAATTACTGTAAACCTTTGAATAAAGTAATTCATGTACTATTAGTAGTTTGTTTAAATGCATTACTTATGTTGTTTTTTTCATTAACATAAAATAAATCTCACGTACCCCCTGCAGTACTCCAACGTACCCCCATTTGAGAACCACTGCTGTTGAGCACATGTGTTTAAAAAGCAGGAAATAAAAAAAGGAACTCACCTTGTGATAAACCCGCAAGAGAAAAAGCATTTGAGCTTCATACTGTTTCAGAAATAATCTTTGATGTGGTTTAGAGCAGGATGGCGTTTTATCACAGCAGAATTTAACTTTATCTCCGGTAGAATTCTGATCAGGCATTAGCTCCGCCTCCTCTTTTTTTTTTTCAAGCTAAGGACCCAAAATCCGAGTTTCTCTAACAGGGCTGCAAAAGAGGGGTATGAGCAGTATGAGGCATGGCTACAATGGGTGAACTGTTTGGTATTTTAAGCAAAAGACTTCACAGACATGTTTTGTATAGGTATGGCCCTACAATATATTTTTCCAATATAGCATAATAGGTCCACTTTAAATATGTGTATTCCCATTGCAATTTGCCAGAGCTAATGTATTCCTTCCTCAATGCTCTCTCATGCAGAAGTCAGCCTTCCATCGTTCCCAGACTCTGGTCTACAGGAATGGCTTTGCTCTGCCTCGTCGCCCCACTGTGGGCATTGGACAGGACCCTCTTTTATCAGAGAAGCTGATCCAGCAGCAGATCAGTGAGTTGTCCTCTGAGACACCATACATTACTCATGGCTCCTATCAAGAACAAGGCCTAGTTGAAGACTTCATCCCAGCTTACGTGGCCCTTGACAAGAAGGTACAACCAGGCCCAGAAGACCAGTATTTGAAGATGTTTTGCTGGTCTAATTAATTCATGGTTCCTGTTCCTCACCAAACTCTTTTTTCTTGTAGGTGCTGCGGTTTTATGCATACTTTGAGGAAGATATCCTGTTTTCCCCTAAGGAGCAGCATCGTGTGTGCCCCGTGGTCATTTACTACTACCTTGAGGATGACAGCATGTGCATTTTTGAGCCCAGGGTGGAAAATTCTGGGATACCGCAGGGGGAACGGATTAAACGCCAGCGTCTGCCCAGGAATGAACAAGGGGAGCCTTATCTATGGAAGAACCTCAATATTGGCATGGACCTGGAGGTGTACGGGGTCAAGTACCACATCACACAGTGCGATGCTTTCACTAAGGTACAACTCTAACTTGAATGCTTTTGCAGTGCCTTGTGTATCTTAGTTATCTTTTCTGTGTCTCTTAGATAAACATGGATACATTGTTGTTCATATACTCTCTCATATGTCTCTTTTTTATTATCTATAGGAATTCATGGAAAGTGAAGGCATTGTTCTGAATGACCCTGAGCCAATGCCTGTGGATCCTTATGGCCAAAGTAGAAAAAGTACTCTGCCTTCCCACACAACACCCTCCAGCTTTGACCAGATGCAACAATTTATCGACATGGATCGAAAGGTAAAGTCCCTCTGATCCAAACTCACTAGGAACTCATTTTCAAACATTAAACCAGACAGTTTTTAACAGCGAAGCAGGAGTACAATATAAGATGTTCAAAAATATCGTATACCTTTTTATACCTGCCATGATGTTATACAGTATTTGCTCTTGCAAAAATTGCTCTCCTCTCTCAGTAGACTGCACCTAAAATAATGAAATCGTTTAGATAGGGAGACGCCATTCACACTACCGAGTTAAGCATTATGTATCTGTTGGACAAACTATTTATCCTAGCTTAATCAAAACCATTATATTTCATTAATTGTGAATATGTGTTTCTTTATTTTGAGATTGAGCCTATATTGACAGTTACAAGGATCCAATTGTATAGAACTGACCTTATAAAACATGAAAAATGTGACGTTAACCTTAAGCAGTGTTCTGAACCACTGAAAAGCTTCAAATAAGTGATGTATTCCAACTCTAGTTTCAGTGTTTCAACCTCTTCTCGTTCAGGTGCTGCGTTTCTTTGCCCTGTTGGATGATGCAGACGCTCTGTTCGCGGACACCAGGCCCGTTACCATCCAGTTCTACCTGGGAGACAACACAGTGGAGATCAGAGAGGTCCACGAAGTCAACAGCGGCCGCGATCCATTCCCCATCCTGATGCACCGACAGAAGCTGCCCAAGAAATTTAAAGCTGCGCCTCGTAAGATGCAACAGTCTGAGTCAGCTTCAGCTCTGTATAGAATTACATTAGGTCTCATACAGTGCTTTGGTTAGCTGTCACTTTGTGTCCAGACATGTACAGTACATACAAGTGTCTCTTATGCATGAAGAACACAATCCACATAATGATCCACTACTATTTTACTCAAAATATTAAAATAATAATGACTTTATTTATGTAGCATTTTCTTTTAAACAAATATATGCAGTACAATGTTGTTTTAGGTGTAAAAAGTAATAATTTTACAAACAAAGAAGAACGATATTTAACATATACTGTCTACATTAAAGCAGAACGGGCTCATAAAATAGACAACATAAGAGAGATTTAAAAAAGAATCAACACTCATCAAGTTACTCTTCCTATTACTTCCAGAGAACTTTCCCAGCTGTGTGCTGGAGGTTTCCAAAGCAGAAGTAGAGGAGTACTACACTCCTAAAGACTTCCAGACGGGTCAAACGATGAAGCTGCGGGGCCGTCGCTTCCTGCTGTACGACTGTGATGGCTTCACTAAAGAATATTACCAGAAGAACCACCCTGACATCCAGATGAAACCCTCAGAGGTACCAAACAAGACCACCCTGGTTCAGCTGAGGAAAAAGGTGAGAAACTAAAAATGTTCATCTCTCTTTTCTTTTCTTTTCCTCTTATGTTAGGAATAATTACTTATGGTTCATTCATTACAGGAGGTTCCTCCCTATAATGGTTTTGGATCCCTCGAAGACTCTCTCCAGAATTGTTTGTATTTAATTCCTGAGCCTCCCAAAAAGAACGTGTTGAAGATGTTAGAAAACAACAACAAAGTGTTGTGCTACAGTGCCAGGATGGTGAGTCAACATCTATGAGAACATCAGCACCACACCAGATCATTTCTCTCCTTGCTGAAACCGTCCTTTGTTCCCGACATTCTAGGAATCCCAGAATCCTGACGATGATGGCCGACTCTTCATACTGTCCTACTCCCTGGCTAATGACATGATAAGTATTTATGAAAAGCCCACTCGCAACTCTGGTATCATTGCTGGAAAGTTCCTGAAAGACACACGCATCCCCAAACCGGGCTCTACAGTGGAGAATCCGGAGTTCTACTCACCTGCGGACTTTGCTATTGGAGCCACTCTGCAGGGTAACTTTCCCACTTAAACAGCCTGAATTTATGTATTGTCTTGTTCAAAAGCAGCTTTGTAGAACTCGTGTAACGGTAACACTCGCTGTAACAAAAATGTCAGCCTGAGTCATAATGGTTTAAATGCATTTCCCATTAGGGGATCAATAGAAAATACATCTAAAACTGTTCCAATTGCATCCGTCTCCTCTGTTTTTGTAGTTTTCGGCCGTCGCTTTGTGCTTACCGGTGCTGACCAATATGTGCTGAACTACCTGGAGTCCAACGCCGGCCAGATCCCGCATCAGACTCTGCTTTCTATTCACCAGAAGCTTGGTGTGAGGACAGAAAACAACCAGCCACATGACCAAAATGGTAAAAAATCAAATCATCAATCTAGCAAAACGTCATTTTTTTCCTTTAAGTTTACTTACACAACAATGTTCTGTTTTTCATTCTTTATCAGGTGATGATGTAGCAGAGCCATCTTCATGATGAAAAGGAAGGCTGGATTGCTTCAAAAAGTTGTTCACTCCCAAATAAATCATATCACAAATTAACGCCTTTACTGAAAATACTGAATCTGCTGCAGAATTTTTTTGGTGGGTTCTGACATTTTTTGAAAAATTCATAAAAATTCAACAGCTGTTTGGTGTCAGTATGGTTGACCTTACAATACCCCTCCTATATATCAAGTGGTCACCTAAGACATGGCCTAAAAATCTCATAATGTTAGAGGCCTAGATTGAAGCAAGTACATTTTATTCTATAAAATCTTGTCTTCTCAGCCTCACAAAACCAAACCAGGTCTGGAAGGGTATAAACTGTCTTTGTCATAATGCATGAGTTTGTCTCTTTATCCACCGCGGAAACGCAACCATTTTTCGAAAATAATACAAACTAACACTAGAACATTGAGTATATGTAGTGTAAACAATTAAAATAGAGAAACATATATAGAAAAAGTACTTCCATCAGAATATTTCAGAAAAATGCATTATTTAATAAAGTAATTAACAAAAATGTAAAGGAGAAAAATGGAATGGCATGCAGTAATATCCAACATACATACTTGATGCATATCTTTTAAGTGACCAGTGACAAATGGAAGATTTTAAGCAGACAGGGAGGAGCCCAGGTGACTACTCCCTTCAGTGACATGGTAAAGGGGAAACGTTAAAGCCAGCATACAGTGAGCTCATATCATCAGTAACATCTTTCTGCTCCAATGGACCAGACTAGAAAACAAGCATAGCCGGCTCAATGCCTCCGCAGACAACACTACAGCCAATACAGTACTTACGTATGAGGATATGCATCGACACATTCAGCACTGACACACAGAGTCACGTGTGCCTTATACTGTGCTCACAATTTAAATCATTCTGCATACAATGGTGCTCCTTATCCGTGGGATAGCAGGCTGCATGGATGTATAAAAAATACTGATATGAAGAGTAAATGTCTGTTGGGCTCGAGGGATTTCCTTGGATTTCGTTTTTTCCAGCATTCAAGCCTAAGTCTGTAGCGACTGAGTCCCTTTAACATCTCAGGATGAACTCAACAGGAGGCTTGGTGGTCAGCGGCCGCCATCTTTCCTGTTGTGCTGATGAGGAACCTTAGCCGGAGCTAAGGCCATTGTTCAGGCCAGTCAGTGTGTTGTCTTAGGGGGATTTCAGCTTTTTGATCCGAGGAGAGGCTCCATTCTCAGCCTTAAGAACGCCATTTTCATGGTTACCAACTAGCAGGAGAGACAAAAGAGAGAAGTCAGGATCTCTACTAACGCAGCACATAGAGAATCAGTGTGATAGCACAAATTAAGAAAGCGAAAATGCGTGTTTTAAGTAAGGAATAGACAGACATTACTGAATATCGTAGCATTATTATATGTTGCTTGGCTATCTGTAACTATTAGGAAAATAAATCAGTGGTTTTATAGTGAGTATAGTGAGACTCACGTGAGTCTCTCTTCAGTGGTCGTAGGGGTTGTTTTGCAGCAGTCTTCTTGCGAATAGCCTGTTCGTGTCTGAACTCTCTCCAACGCTTCAGCTGGAAGCGGATAAACTTCCAGAGTAGCCAAGATTGGATCAAACATACCAGCAGCAGAACAGTCATCCTGGAGGGGGCCAAAGGCAAGACGATTAGTGCCACATTAGCAATTGTGTGTGTGTGTGTTTTATTTTTAAATGGACCTGACATTGCGTGCAAATGTTGTCAAATTACTTCCTGACCCTGGTGCTTTATGATTTGAAACAAGTTGCCAAAAATTGCCAGGGACAACGAGGGTACCACAGTCTCACTGACATATTTGAAAACTATTGTTTCTGTGATTAAGGAAACGGCAATTTATGTTGCTTCACAGTGATGCTGTCACACTTTAACAGAAATAATAGCACTAAAATTAGGAGTAAAGTAAATAAAATATATCAACTAATTAAATGACTGAATTTTCAGATATTATATATTAAATAGTTGTTTTTTATTTAATGTTTATTTATTTTTTTGAAAGTGAATTGTTAATTTCAAATGTCACAATGAAACCCTATGTAATCTTTTCTAAGTGACGTGTTTTTATTTTTAATTAAAAGAGCCATTTTCTGTCAATCAATGTCAAAATTCCTGGCTAAATCTACTGTGAGTTTCAGAAAGTCAGCACTGTGTTTTGACCATAAAGCTGTAAAAAGTAATTGTGGTGCCACAGAATTAATGATTATCCACAGATGTCATTACCTTATCAGTACACTGTTGAAGTTTCCCATCTCCAAGTCCAGCCCCTGGTTCTCTACACGAGCCAAACCAAAGCCCACAGCCAGGAACATCAGGGTCAGAGTGACCATCCGCGTAAACACAAAGCTGACCGCCCACATGTTAAACCTGCAGCATCAAACAAATCAAACAGAATGGTGTAATTAAAATAATAAGTTGCAGAGTATGTAAAGCCACAAAGAGTCAAAATTGGGGAAAACAAATGTGATAGGAGCTAAGAGAGGAGGAGAGAATAAAAGCATTTTTAAGTCAAGTTAATAATATTAAACTCGGCGAGGAACCTACGCTTTCTGATGGTTCTCGTCGGTAAAGTAAAAGAGTCTGGCAATATGGAAGCCCAGCTCGGACACATACTGGAGGAAGAGGAGCACCACACCTACACGAGTCAAACTACACAGGAAAAAAGGGACAGCCAGGTGATGGATTAGGTGGTTTTCTCCTTTACGTCTTTTCACACTATCAAGGATTTAAATTGTAATGAAATGTTTTCCTGCTTACTTCAACAAATAGGCTGCAGCGATGTGCAGCAGATACAGGCAGATGTACTTGAGCTGGCGAGGAATCTCCTCCTGAAAAAACAAGTGAGGGTATTTTCACATCCTGAAGCCTTTATTTAGTTGTTTCTCTCAGTGTTATATGCATACAGCAGCAGTGCATTCACAACCACACACACACACACACACACACACACACACACACACACACACACAGCTTATCTCGTCACACTCCAGAACTCCTCCAGTTCCCAGGCCTCCTTACTGACCTTGCGTACTTTCTGGAAGTAGAGCTCTGGCAAGGCGTGGAGCCAGTAGGCCAGCTGAGTCAGGTAGAAAAACTTCACCTGAAACCTGGACCACAAACAGACAGAGAACGAAAGTAGGAATAAGTCAAAACGAGAAAGAGGTGGTGAAATGTACACAGATGTCACAGTGATACATTCTTAGTTTGATTTGTTCCCCTGTGAATACGCAACTGTTGAAAAAATAAAGAACCCTGGTTAAGAGTAGACATAACCAAGTAATCCAGTAATTCCCTATGTTAACTGTGTTTTTTAATGCCTTTTTTTTAAACTATGATTCTACCAAAACTGGAGAATAATCCGACTTTAAACTCAATAATACATGGTTAGTTGTGGCTCTGTGTGCAAGGTGCACATGTCAGGAAATGATGATAAGAGAAAAACTGAATTATGTGTGGCATTTCTTTTTATCGTACTTTGATTTTCAAGCTTATTCTGAAATAAATACCATTAGAAGACATGTAACTGAATATGGCCTTGTCCCATAATCTACTTGTAATAGTGCATTCTGTTAACAGCCCTGGGTTGGACAAATTATATAATATTTTCAAAAACCTTGTCTGTGAAAGGAATTGATCATTTGTAATTACAGGTTTTGTCAGATTACAAAGCAACAGACACATACACATGGTTTGATTGGCTACAATATCTGTCAATGCATTGCAAAATACAGGTGTTTTAACATAGACATTTTTAAGGAAATAAAACACTGCTTTCAGCTTCTCAAATGTGATTTATTTTCTTTTTTTTTCTTAGCCTTCTATGATATTAAAGTGAATACTTTTGGTGTTTGGACTATGGGTCGGAGACATCTGGAATTCTACTCAGGCTTTGGGGAATGTTTGAAGGGCTTTTAAATAAATACAAATAAACTAAAAAGCAGCCCTAATATACATTTTTAAATGTAGAGACTTCAGAAAATATGTTTTGTTATTTTAGTATAATGCTGACCAGCTGTAAAACTGTATATACATTGTATTAACTATAGTACAGACAGAGTGAGATATCAGTCATCATACCTGAGGTTTACATGGGGATAGTTCTCCCAAAGGCTGCTGGGATGCAGGAGATATCCTTCCTGAGTAAAGAAATGAGAAGAAAAAACACTTTATACCGTTGTCTATTAATGTGTGTGAGAGAGAAATACACGACTTATCTTTGCTAAGATTCTAGATTATATGTCACATTTCCTAAACTAGTGACTTGTCGATGAATATGATATGATAAAAAAAAACACTCACTGTTATGAGGACGTAAAAACTCCAAACACTTGACACCAAGTGAAACACACCCAGTTGACCCGACTCATTGAACTTGGTATTCTTGCTCTTGGAGAGGTGGAGGCGCCGGTTCACTTTCTGTAACATGAACAATAACAGAGATCATGTGAATGCCGCTCGGGTCCCGTCATTATGGCTGGCCTGTTGACAGACTGCTGGAATTGTCATGCACGAGGAAGTGTCAGACGGTAAAATAACTAGGGCAAGAAAGACATGGATACTATTTATGGCTGCTGTTGAAAAGCCCTCTCTGAAGAAGTATTCCTTTCAAGACACGTAGGAAACCGTGGTGATGGTGCTAAAATAAAACCCCATTCCTCTTCACTGGCCTATTTCTAAACAATGACACAAGGGCTCATACCTTCACATGGATTGAATGCTCCCTCTCTCTTCCTGCAATGTCAGTCTGTTTATTCTGAAAAACTGTCAGCATGCTGCTCTAGAGTTTTTTTAATATGGTGCTTTTGAAACTGCGCTGTTTTAAATGTCAATTTACGTGCAGCTGGATGCGATCACTGGAAGTATGCAAATACATATACTTGAAAATAATCAGAAATAGCATACTCTTGAGGGAATTTTTATGAGTGCAATAAGATCCTATGCTTTCTTTTCCCTAATAGTGAGAACATATCTCAATGCCTGTACCTCGTTATATTTAATGTATTTGTGAAAACCTTTTTTGTAACTCCATTTCTTTGTTTTATTTTTTCAAAACTATTGCCTAACAATTTTCAAAATGTTCCTTTGAATTTGTTTTTATTTTATATTTTATAATTATAGGGAACACATATGCAGTGTTAAATGTATAAACTAGCGAACATTTATTTTTATAAAGAAAATGAATGATGAATTGATATTTACTTGAGTTTAAATACATCTCCTCAAATTATTTTTATCTTTTAAGAGAAAACTTCCTAGGAATTTATGGTCTGATAAAATAACCCTTCACACTAATTGTATTATCTAAACATTGCTGTGCTGTCTTTTTTGGTGACCAGATAAAAAAACTGAAACATTGACTTTAATTAAATGTATTATGTCAACACATTTGCCACAACTGGGATTGCTTTCCACTAACCCAATACAGTTATGTGACATTTGTTGACATATTACATTTAATTAAAGTCAAGGTTTCAGTTTTTCAGTGCAGCAAGACATTTGCAAGATATGCTGTCCTTCTCTGTCTTTGACTCAGACCATCATTTCAGATTAAAAGGACTTCTCTGTCTCGTGATGATGCGTGTGCCACAGTGCGGGGTTCTTACATCCAGAAGATACTCCTGCACTACTGCGTGGAGGATGATGGCGATGAAGAAATAGAAGAGGATGGTGGCGGAGTCCTTCCATCCGTAATGGTACAACGTCACCTCACTCTCTGAGCACACAAAGAGGGTGTCGAACACACACACAAAGCAGATGATTGTAATCATAGGTGTGGTAAACATCCTGGAGCAAGGTAAACCAAGCAATCATATCACATTACGCAGAAGCAAAACTGTGAAATGTATGACATGCAGAGGTGGAAGAAGTACTCAGATCTTGTACTCAAGTACAATTAGAAGTACCAGAGTGTAGGAATACTCTGTTACAAGTAAAAGTCCAGCAATCAAAATGTTACTCAAGTAAAAGTACAAAAGCATTAGCATTAACACATACTTAAAGTACCAAAAGTAAAAGTACTCATTATGCAGATTTGTCCATTTCAGAATAATATATATTATGCGTTTTGATTATAATTATTGATGCATGAATGTGTTATCAAAGCTGGTAAAGGTGCAGCTAGTTTTTATTATTCTGTATACTGCAGGGTAGCTGGTGAATTTACTCCAGGTGTAACTAAAGTCTTATTTAAGTGTTGATTTATATTTCACATTATTAATCCAAATCTATAAAGTAACTAAACCTATTAAATAAATGTAGTGGACTAAAAGTATCACAATTTACTTCTGAATTGTAGTGGAGTAGAAGTAGAAGGTAGCATAACAATTGAAATACTCAAGTACCTCAAAATTGTAGTTAAGTACAGTACTTCAGTAAATGTACTTAGTCACTTTACACCACTGATGACATGTATGTGTTCAAAATTGGTAGATGAATCACAGACTGTGAATTAACAAGTATTTCATACAAAGATTCTAAACTTCATTACATACCTGGTGATAGTGTGGTGACATTGTACTGAGGCTGAATGAACAGTATGGCCGTCTTGGCTGTTGCCTGGAAAATTAGATGACATGGTAATCCACAACATATTTCAGTGAACCTCAAGAGGCCGGTCATCAAAGCATCATCAAAGTATGAATGTGTGTTTGTGGCAGGTGTGTCTGCTTGTGAGTGTGTAGTTGGAAAGAAGGCCAATGAGAATACAAGGTTTTAGGAAACTAGTGTTGACTTAGGAAGTGGAATCTTTAACTGAGCATCCCAAATGGCATGAATCCACACAAAATGTTACCTTTTTAGCTTGTGTCCCCTTTAAACTAAGCTGTGTCTAGCTGCAGCCCCTTTCCTCAAGTGGTCTATGATGTGATGTTAGTTTATGAAATGGCGATTTTCAGATATTAGATTGTTACATTTGAGTAACTTTGGTGAACACGGAGAGTTAAAACTATCTGACAGTTAGATGTAAAAGATCTTTCATGAAGTCTCTATAACGTCAAACAATTGAAGATTATCACATTTTACAAGCTAAAATCAGAACATTATTATTTGCATATTTTGCTATACAAGTGATTCAAGTAGTGACAGTCTTCAGTTCACTAATCCATTATTTGAATTAAGGGTTTAACACTACATAGATCATAGAAATGTGTTGTAGAGCTTTTTCCTAACCCATTAATCAACTTGTAAGCCTTCACATTTATTTTTAAAGCATTGCTGAGGTCCAATCAGGTTTGGGACATGATTTGTTCTTAATCAAACACATATAGGTACAAAAGTCTTGGTTTAAAATGATTGAGTCATCCCCTGGCCCCAGATTGGGCACCACAGAGCTACAAGTCACCAGTCATTCCTTGCACACCGAAGCCACAGGTGACCTGTCAGCGTCAAAATGTCAAATTCAAGACCAGCTGTACCACGGTAGTTCTCTTTTTTCCGAAACGAGAAAAATGAAGGAAATCCCCTACTTGTGTTTTACTCGACCAGCTGTGTGATCACTACCAGGGTTCCGGATTGAAACTTTGCTAAAAGCTCGGCCAGGAAAGTGTGTTTGTGCGCACTTAGCAGAGGCTTTTAGCCAATAACACCTCATGAATACATTTACGGTATATCAAAGTGAAACCCCTTCAGGTCAAATCAGTGTTTATTAGAGCTGCTGAGCCTACCTCAAAGATTGAGACGTGGCAGTTAACTACTACTATGAAGCTAGCGACGAAAAGTAGTAATGCTTCCGTCTGAGCTTTCAAAATAAAAGCCCACTCTATCAAACGTTCCATGATGCTTTTAATTTGAAAGCTGAAAACGCTTCACTTCCCGTCTTAACCGGGTTTACTGTGCAGATTGACACATCTTTGAATCAAAAATGTTGCAGCGGTCTACCTTTGCTGGAAACTGGGACAATACTTTGTCTAAAAGGGTAAAACGTACATTTTAGGACACAAATAAGTAACATTATGTTGTTTACAAGTAGCCACATATGCAATGCCAACATAAGAGTTGTTCAGTTGCCTCCCGGTTTTTAAAACCTCTTGGAATGACATTTAAGAGCAAGACACCAACGTTTTAAACGTTAACCCGCAAAAAAACAAACATGCGTTTTGCATTTAATACACTGTTGTTTCCAGCTGTAAAGTGCTTATTCAGTTTTCAATCATACGTTGCTTCTTGTATTACGAACAGAGTAACATTCCTTGTTCCCAAAACTTGTTAAAAAAAAAAGAAAAAAACTACAGCAAGCAACCACCATAACGTTATCCGCGGAACTGATTCCACTGATAGAAGGGAAACAGGAAAAGACTTTTACAAACAAGATAACTTTAAGCAAATACGTTTTCACTTTGCACCGAGTTACATCTTTGAATGTAAAGCGGGCTTGCCATCTTAAAACAGCTGAGAGACGATGGAAGAAAAGAGAATCTGAGTTCAACTCACCTCAAACATCAATCCAATCAAAATGAAAATCACCAAACTGAAGACGATGTCCGCATGGTTTTGAATTAAGAATTCTTGGCTGAAGAAAGGATAACTCTTGTTTCTTCGGCGAAATGCCATGTCAACCCAATGGTGTTTTCCCTGCTATTTTATAATTCAGAATTTTTTCTGACTACGAAGTTCAGGAGTTAACTTTCTCACTGATTTGCGCATGCGCGACTTTCTTAAAGGGCGAGTGCCATAAATACCTTCTTGAGGCCATTCACACAATACGTTCAGTCTGTTGGTCCCCAGTGGTGGAAAGTACATTCATTCCAATACTGTACTTAGGTGGAATCTTGAGTGATTTAACTTTGCTTCATGTCCATTATATCTACTTAATACTAACAAATATTGTATTTTTTTACTCCCAAACATATGTTTGAAAGCTTTATCTAAAAGTTACTATGCAGACTCCAATTATGAATACAACATACAGGTATATATCCACTTGTAAATTGGGATATAATATCATAGCAACCCAGCAATATATTAATAATTGAAATTGGCTGACGACATTTGAAAAATGTCCACATTAATGTATCACTGATCATGATGACAACATTTACATCTGGCATTTTAACTACATTTCGGTGCTAAATCTTTTTTTACATTACTTATATTCATGAATTTTACTCAGTGGTGCAATGTATTGAAGTACATTTACTCAAGTACAAAATATAAATAATAAACTAATACATAAACTACGATATACAATTATAGGTGTCAATAATCATAATCCAGTCATTTTACATATATGATTCTGAAATGGGACATTACGCACAATAAGTACTTTAAGTGTTTTGTTATGCAAATACCTTTTCCAATATTTCTGTTAAGTAAGGTTTTGAATGCAGGACTTTTACTTGTAACATAGTATTTATACTTTTACTTAAGTAAAATATCTGAGTACTTCTTCCGCCACTGCTTTTACGTGTACTTCTACGTGTTAGTATTGAGCCGTGCCCTTTAAAAATGCTTAAAACATATGAAAAAGACTTGCATTGATACCATTAATATAAAAACACCAAGTTTAAAGAATGAGTAACACTTGTATTCCAGTCACCCAAATATGTAGGCTATTTATTGCTTATTTAAAGCCACCAGTGGCCTTGCACTTCACAGTTCAAAATGTCATATAGGCAGTCACCTGGGTGCACGAGAAAACCCAGCATCATTTCACTGCTTTGTGTGTGGATTTCATCCCGGCTTTTACAGAACAGAGTTGAGCAAAAATACATTTGTGCCCTAGAAATAGCAACCGAGAGCACATAAAAAAGTCACTACAAGAACCATTATTAGCATATTTCCATTTGTTACACAATATACTTTTAAAAGCTTTTAAAGTCAGTGCCTGAGACAAACTTTTCCCTCAACATAATGTAAATTAAAAATACATTTTTAGCAATTACATGGTCAACATGTAAATAAAGATAACACATCAAAACTGTTTTTGCAAGGTTGACAGACTAGCTCTGCTTAAAGCAATGCCAGTGACATGATTATACAAAAAATACAGTATATAACTTTCTGAGGAGATTTGCTCTTTTCTTATGGGAATAAAAAAAATCACAGCAATAGACATTATGATACAGAAGATACTTGTGCTTTTAAAAGGCCGACAAAACTCTGGCTTACACTGAGATGGTAAAGATTCAGAGGTCAGACACTCATGCCCCCTCTAGACAAACAAATAGTTTCTCTATTCTCATGACGGCTGGCAATTATTAACATGAATAACAGCAGTTTCGGTATGTAATATAGAGACCATCAATTGCCTGATATCATAAAACAGCTGCATATTTCTAATGACATTTATTGATATAACTCAGGGTTACTTCCTCAATATGTAATTGCAATCTGGCAGAAGCAGTGTTCACTTTGTTGTTGAGTTAAACTAAATTTAAAGGCTTCATTGGAACCAAAACAATAGAGAAAATGTTGAATCAGGTAGAAGCTGTCTGAGCCTCAAACACCACCTTTGTGACCAATTAGCTCTTTAATTATCATCTTCATGTCTAATGAAACACTGCTGAGGGTTTCACCTCTGTGTCCAGCATGTGGGCAAAGCACTGCTATTAAAAATAATTTATGATTTGAGAAGAGTATAGGCTAGCTTAGCATTATCCCAAAATTGTTGCATATACTGTGCCCAACACTTTACTTAATATAAGGACATCAAGAGGTGAATTTCTGCCAGCCTTCTCACCCTGCAGCTCTGATCAGATTAGTTAAAGCAGCCTTCTAAAATAAAAAGCTGGTGTACTCCTTTAGTGTTGGATAAGTTGCCGTTTCCCTTTTCCCTGATTATGTTTTGAGAAACCTAGAAGTTATCGTCTTCATCTCTTCGGGACATTATAAGCTGCCTCCTGGGACCCGTGAGATGAGGGACACTGTCCATCACTCCAGAGTCCAATTTAGGAGTGGAAGTACAGCGTGGCCCAACCCGTCCCATGAGCCCACGTACATCTCTGTGAAGGGCCGGATCGCTGGGGATGGAGGTGAAGCGCACCCCCTGTTCAAGACCCCCAATGTCCCGGTCCAAGCGGAGGTTAGTGGCACTGCTGGGAGACTGAGGATCGGCGCTGAAATATAAGGTTGAACTCGACTCTGTGGGGCAGAAGTATGGCTCCGGACTGTCTCCGAACACGGACTTGCCCTCTGGCGAGCTCCGTTTGAAATCTGATGTGGGGGACTCCATCGGGCTCTCCATCTCCAGGCTGTCGTCCTCCTCTTCCTCGGGCTCTTCAGTTGACGTGGGCTCGCTCACGCTCTGGAACTCGTCTTTGCAGTCCGAGAGAGGTGCCAGGCCTTTCCCCTGAGACTCAGAGGTGGAGACCCCCTCGCAGCTGCCAGCCCCTGTGATAGTCATGCCTTCGTTGCTCTTGAACTCTTGGTTGTACTCCTCCATGTCCAGTATGGCTGCTGCTCCGCCGGCCCCATACGCTCTGTTGATCTTCCCAAGGTCTCCTGTTTTTAGAGCCAGCCGAATGAGGAGCCAGTGGTGGTGGTAGCAGGGGCAGGAGCTGTTGGCCCGGCCCCTACAGGTTCCTGGGTGCTCCAGCAGAGACCCAGCTACACCTGAGAGGGAGAAGCTGCCGTGGTTTTGAATAGAGGCATCTGGCAGGCTTTTACCCCTGAAAGAGAAGGAGGACTCCTCTCGTTCTATACAAGTGCTGCCCATGTGGTTGTGGTCCGTGCCCTGGGAGATCTCTGTTGACTTGGGGTGGAGGAACCGGTAGTATAGGACCAGAGAGGTAGCGCCTGGGATGCAGGGGAAAGGAAACAGTTGGTTTTAGTACCCTAAGTATTACTGTTTATTTATCATGTTCAATTAATCAAAAATGACAACTTGCAATCAATATCTTTGTTAGTATTGCATGTCTTTGCTACGTTTCCTACTTAGAGTTAGTTTTTAACAATCTGAATCACCATTAGTGTTGCATTACTCAGATACCACAGAAATCATCAATCATCAGATGTTTTGACACTAGTCTAATTATAAGCATTGAACATCTGAGACAAATGTGTTCCAAAACAGAGGAGGCGCAGACAGAGAGTGACTCACCGAGTAAGAAGCTACACAGCACAGTGGTGGGCAGGGTCAGGCTGTCCCATGATGCTTCGCTGAGGAAGTCGGAGGCGGCCAGCAGCAGAGTGGCATTCTCTATGAACATGAACTGAAAGAGGAGAGAAGGTCACACCATCAGTCATCTGCAGACAGCTTTACGTCACTGTTATGCACGTAGCAGAGGTGAGAATGACAATGCAAACTATCGTCCTGTGTGTGTACATCTGTGTGTGTGTGCAGCTGCCCTGTGTGTAGGTCAATGAGGCAATGCTGTAGGTGGAATATAAAGCAAAAAAGTCACATCTTACTGCATAAAAACTGGCCATGCGGTAGCGGGAGGATCCATCTTTGACGTTGAGGAAGAGGAAGATGTGGACAATTCCCATAATGCCATTAAAGGCACGCCAACACCAGGGGCCGGTGCAGATGTCTGGTTGCTGTGATACCAGCCAGAAGGAGGCTGTGAGCCAGTGGAAACCTGGAGGTCAATGTAAAAATAGACAAGGAGATAAAAGGAAAATCCTAATGCAGAAGCAAGTAAAACCCTGGATTACAAGGACATGCTGCATCACTATAAAGATAATTACATAACTCCTTTACTTAAATGAATACAAATCGCTTGTTAGGTTAGTCTTCTAGCAGTTTTTTGTGAGTGACTGTGTTCATAATTTATAATCATTTTATTGCACCCTTTCTCTTCCTTGCCAGGCTTGCTGCTCACCTGCTACTCCGACGACCCACCAGTTAAAGACCCTGGCAAAGAGCATGAGGCAGGTCACCCTTGCACTGAGCATGCCTGCCCTCCACACCAGCTGGCAAAGCAGCGCTGCCGGAGGCATGGCCAGGTGGCCCGGTCGAATCAGGCAGCAGGCTCTGCTGTACAGCACCAGGGCCCAGGAAATAGACAGCAAACACAGACCACAGCAGTAGGCCACTGAAGGTAAAAACACAAGCAGATTAAACAACTACTTTCTACAATTTACATGCCCCAAACAAGATGTAGATGGAACAACTCATGCTAAGATCAGTGTACCTGGGGACATGATGCCGACATCAGTGGACACAACCACATATGCCTGCAGAAGGCTCTGTGGAAGCGTGAGGACGAGGGCCTCCAGCAACCAGAGAGCAGAAACATCTGCCTGCTGCATGACAGAGGCTCCAAGCTCGGCCACTGAGCCTTGCATGCGCAACACAGACCTCATGCAGTCCCATAGCCTGCCAGAAGAGGGAGACAGAGACATAAACCACAGAAATGACACACAGTAACCTCCTCGTGAAGGTTTCAATGACAGAATATATTTTCTGTGTACTTGGTTGGTTTGTTAATCTCTAGATGAAATCCTAACAGCATATTTTATAGATGCAGATTATTCTATATTTCGTTATTCAAAATATGAAGTGACAGATCTTACCTTTTGAAGATTCCCAAGTGCAGTATGTGTATTATTGAGAGGTAGCATCGCCTGTCATCACCATCGTCATAATACCACTTCATACTAAGCAGCTGAACTGCTGTCCCCGGTAGAAAGAGGCCCAGAGTGAGGCCCGCCCACTGCGTCTCCTCATTCCAGAGGTAAAACCCTACACAATAGAACACTAACAACACATACAGACACACAGATACAAGTTGTATAAGTATGTTGTGTTTCTATGTCAGGTGAGATATATTTGATTTCAGTTGAGAATTCATATTAATAAGGCCTGTCTGATTTCAAAAGGAAATGCAGTTGAAACACAAACCCATTCTTTATCTGAGGATATGTTTGATATAACACATGTTGTTGCTGCATAAGCCATCAGAGTCCTTGAGAAATGAAAGAGCACATACACCTTGCTCAATTGAGTTATCCTTTAATTTAAGTGGAAGCTGTTCTGATGATAAGCTCCACCAAAAAAAGACCAGTGTCTAACTCCTGGCCTTATCACAGCCTGCAATTAGAGGTCTTTAATTACATAAGACCTCTTGTACTGTGATAACATCATACTGATCACTTTGAAAAACTAATTTCCCTGTGTGATTCGAGTTTGGAGGCCAGGGAGCACCACATTATTTTTATCTTATGGGAATGGTACACCTTCTACAGGCAAAGTCACACTTTGTACAGACCCAGTCACCTCTTCTGGCTCTGCCCTGCCCTTGCCCCATTGATCTGCTTAGTCAGGGACTCACACCTGAGACTGCTGCACACTGTTTCCAATACAGAGTCCAGATGTGCAATCATTACAATACCTAAGTATTCCAAATAAAATCATAATTAATATTTATTTTACGATTTTAATAATATTTCTACTGGGATGGGTGCTACAGAAGTGTTCAAGGTGAGCATTATTCCATATGTATCATTTTTTCTATGAAGGTTATCATTTAGTGAATGACCCCTGGAGGTCCTCTGGCCCCAGCTTGGCTACCAATGCCATTGTTACATAGCTATGCATTCAAAACTTGCTAGGTTTGCCTATTCAACAGTAACGCCTGCCATATAGCGTCACCATTTGAATTGTGTTTCTGCTGCTGCTGGAAAGCTCCAGCACGAAGCACAATGGCTGAGCCGGTTTCATTCATTCCAGCTATCGACATTCCTCCACACCAAAACAACGTTGCCCTGCCATGTTTTCGTATGCAGTGTTAGCCCGCTCTAGCAGAATCCTATGCCCACTTACGCGCGGTCCGTTCGGCCACGATAACCAGCGCCGACACGCCGAACAGCGCCGCCTGGCACCACGCTATCCAGCACGCGCTCCGCCGGGCCACCGACGGCATCCTGCGGGCGACCGCCCCGGCAGCGTTAATCATGATATGGATAGGCGGGAGAGAGGATACTCGGGTGACATTACCCTGGGCATCCTTCGCCCTGGATACACGGGACACATCCGCTGCTGCCTTCTTCTCCCGCTGCCTGCCTCCCGTCAAAAATACGTGACGTCACTGTGCGCTTTTAAAGGGGCCATCAGTTCACCGACCGTCCGCTGTGGCCTGTTACTGTGTACACAGACCAGCTTCCCTTAACCCTGGAAACATTACCTCTACTAATTTAAATCATGAATATCCTAATGTTTCATGGAGATTTGTCTTACTTATTCCCCATTAATGGTCTTATTGATCATAGTTTGGATTAACCCTGCAGTTATTTGTTCAGATAAATTACTATTTCTGATCTACATTGTTTTTCTTGCAGGGATGCAAAAGAGCTCCAGAGCAGCTGTTATGCATGATGTGACCTGATCAGGAGAGTAACACCAGCATTGAAGGTGCATGCTCTGTGCATTGTAATTTATCTCATCATTAGATCGCCACTTTGAACAGTATGCCATCTGATAGCTTTTATAAAATGTAATGATAGGATCACAGAAAGCTTCTGCACAGAAAGTTACAGATCATGTCAGGCCTTCTGCCCTGATGTGTTTTGATATGTGAAGCATGGTTACATTTGTATCAGATATGTGGTTGGTATGGTTCCCTAACAGTAAGCTATAAAAGTGTTTCTCCGAAATAATCTAACAACTGTGTTATAAATATCTCGGAATAAACTGTAGTCATCTGTTTTTGGTTTAATGTCTGTGAAGTGATTAATACTGAAACTAAAAAATGGAAGTGCGTGTTCAAAATAGCAGCATGATGTTATTGATAGTAAAGATCATTTTGTCGTAGTTGTTTTTATCCAGGGTAAAGGGTTGGTACTTACTGGTCGTGAGTGTCCAAAGACTAACAGGATGTGTATCTACGTCACCACATCAGCACGGTACACACACAAAGGTAAGTATATGTTACATGAAACAAGTGAGGTTTCCTCTGCGTTTTCACTGTAACGCTTATCTCACTGACACTACATAGTCATGTACGTATACTAATTGTGTCCTTAAATAGGAGGCTTGAACACACACACAAACACGCAAGCAGAGACACACACGATATAAATAGAAACACTACAGTGAACTACAAACTTTGTTTATGCAAATATTTAGTCGTTCCATGAAGATACAAAAAAAGAATACAATACAAAAAAATTCACAAATCATTCATACATTTTAGATTAATGTTAAAAACTGAATAAATTAACAAAGAAGTATAAATCAGTCAGTGGTCCCAGGCCATGCTGGTAATGTCTTGATTCTCCACACGCTACAGCCTGTGTAGAGTATATATGCTAGGCAATCCATGATTGAGATAAGGCTTTACTTCAAATAGGGCAGTAACAGACAGCTGCTGAGTTGACCTGTAAGGATTATACGGCTGGATTAGCAAGGCAGTTTTAGGGCTCTGATGTGCAGCCTGACTCCAGCTTGATACTGGTTGGATGCAGAGGTAGAGGGCTGCCATGATGTGGCAGAACTGCAGATTTGTACATGCTCAGCTCGTCCTCCTCCTCTTCGTGGTGGCCAGAGGTACGAGACTCCATCTTCTTTATCAAGTCAAAAACATTTCCCTTGTCCATCTCGGCATCTGCAGCCATGGCCTCAAGCTGCTCTGCCGCCTCGCTCATGTCGAACCTCTCAATCTCCGCGTTGACTCGGTGTAGCTCCTCCGGGGAGTGTCTGTGGGAGGCCGAGGGGGAGAGAGGGCAGAAGCCTTGGAGGTGCACCTGGAGGCTGCAGTAGTGGAGATAGGCACAGGGGCAACAAGGACACCTGTGAGGTCGTTCACCAGTGTGGAGCCGTTTGTGGAGCTTTAGGTGTACGTATTGAGTAAAGCGGGCCGGGCAGAGCTTGCACAGGTACGGCCTCTCACCTGAGTGTAGCCGCTGATGGGTCTTTAAGTTGCTTGTGCTACTGAATCGCTTATGGCACACCTGTGGCCAAACAGAGAAAAGCAGAATAGGTTTCAAAATGTGTCCTAGTCATAGTATTTGATACTGTAATGTAGTCTAAATATTGTGGATAATTAATGGACATTAAAGGGAAAGTTATACATCATTTGTTGTAAATGTGGCTTTCAATGGGGGTTATGTAGTGAGCTATTTTGGACTTTAGACTAAGAAATAAACATTGTTAAAAGATAAAGTTATGTTTTACACTTAAATGTTTTTACAGATTGAAGAAACTTCAAGATCAAACATATTAATTTGTGGTCTTTATGCAGGCAGGCAGATTTTGTAACATATACAGAGACAAGCTTCTCCATGTTTCCTGTCTTTATACTAATTGACTGCTGGCGCCAACTATTATTTACCGTACAGACATGAGACTGGTATAAATCTTTCCCAAAATGTCAGACTATGTCTTTCATTTAAGATGTAATCATACCTTGCATTCATGAGGCTTCTCTCCAGTGTGAACCAGGTAGTGTTTCTGCAGGTGGGCCAGCTGTGTGAAGTTCTTATTGCAGGTCTGACACCTGAAGGGACGCTCCCCGCTGTGCACTCGCAGATGGACCTGAGGACACCATGTAAAAAATTTGTATTTACATTGATTTATTCTTTAAAACTCAACAAACCAGGGTGGCTATTCCATTTTAGTATTCTATGGACACTTATAACGATGTGCAACTCAATTTTTAGCCACTGTGTTAAGGCATTTTCCCAAACTTACTAATATGACGAGTTACTAACCTTAAGGTTGGACAGCTGCCCAAAGATTTTTCCACAGATGTTGCAATCATACCGGATCTTTCCATTCTGCCTGGTGAGGGGATATGACAGCGTCTTGTAGCCGATAATATGTCCTCCTCGTTTGATCTTCCTGAGGTCCATTGCATCCTCAGTTTGTCTCTGAGTGGCAGACGTGGGTTTGGAAGGGAGGCAGTCTGAAAAGGCAGCCATACCCACTGGTGGTGAACATCCTCCAGGCGCAAGAGATGGCAGTGCTCTGCGGAGGGAGGTGGCCATGGATGAGGCACTGGATGATGCAGGTAAACTGAGGTCTGCGTGAACATTACTGCTTGGAGATTGTCTGAAATCTCTGAGGTCATCTGAAGGGCACCTGAGGTAGTTTGTCCTTACGGTTATGAGGTCCTTGTTGTCTCTGTGCTCGCTGTTTTGTGAAAGAATGAGGTCTTGTTTGGTGTTGGATAGTGCAAGGGTCAAGTCTTTGTGTCCGTTAGCCAGAGAAGGGTGGATGTGTGCATAGCTGTCAAAAGGCAGCACATGAGATATGAAGTGATGTTTCATTTGGTCTCTGTAGAAGGGGAATGACTGAGGTAGAATGCTGTTAAGGCCGAGCGAGTAGTGAGGCAGTGGATAGGGGGAATGCCTCAGAGCAGGATGGACTCGATCAGGTAAAGAGGGCTTTTGGTAAGGTTTGGCTGTAACAGGGCTTTGACTGTGCTGAAGGGTGAAGTGCAAACTAGAGGGACCGCTAAGAACCGGTCTTTTTGCAGCTGGAGGGCTACAGGATGGCACAGGTGGTTGAGTCACATATCTTTGGCCATGGATGGATTCTGAGTGGGGCTGGATCGGGTATACAACACGGGGACACAGGGGAAAAACTGCTGAGAGGTTGGTCTGAGACAAGGGGCTACTCAGACGTCTGGGGCAGGCAGGCAGGGACTTGGAAGGCTCGTCTCGAAGGATTTCAGAGACACTGTGTCCTCGTTTCACTGTTGTCTTCTCCTGAGCTTGACTTGGTTCTGTGGGACAGAAGAATTGAGAAACGGCATCAGAAACAGGTGAAATAATTTCTAGAAGTTCAGCAACAGTAACCTCATTCAGCCCCCTGACATTAACTTGATAAATTACACAAGTTCCCATTGGTCTAAGTTTACGTTTTAAGCTGTGTCCAGTGTTTTTATAAGGTGTGTTTTTACAAGGTGTGTTGGCCTGTCTGTGAACTGTCTCCCAGACTTGCCCTGGCACTCTATGAAAGTGGACACCCCATGTGAAACAATAGGCATCTGATCAGGATACAGATAGCATGGAGTTAGTGGGTACAGTATGTTATTTACATTAGTGCTGGCCAGTATTTTCCATCACAAGCAGGACAGAATACACACAAGAAACTCTCTTTTTTCTCTGACTGATATACCAGATTTTCCCCAGACAAACATAATCCTAAAAATGCTTGAAAAGATACCCATCAAAACATAAACTGACTTATGAGTCATATTTATTTTTTCCACTAAAGTCTACACGAAAAATGAAAATCTAGATCCATATCTCTAACTTATCTGAACAAATCTTCCCAATTCCTACACAGGAAGTCACGAGGAGAGATTATGCTTGACTGACCTGCCCCAGATAAGACAAAGGGCACAAGCTGACAAACAGAGGAAGACAAAATACAGAAGTATGCATCCACATTTCACCTACCCTTGGACACAATTAACATCCACCCTCGCAAACACAGAGCAACCCTTATCTACTGTGTGCTCCCCCGTGTTACCCTCCCCCCTCTCCTGAGAGACCAGCTCTCTGCAAACAAACAGCCGACACTCAGTGAGATATCAATCTGTCAGCAGGTCGTCTTGTCAGGAAGTTCAAGTAGTCACTGGAGCGTTCCTACCCCTCTTCCTCCTTAAGAGCCAAATAAATAAGAGGAGTCGTGCCAGAATGCTGTCAGCACCTCAGGCAGCCTCTTGTGTGTGTGTCTGTGTGTACATGAGTATTTTGCTGTGTGTATGCAGTCTCTCTGCTAGTATGTGCACTCTTTTTGTGTGTGTGAATATAAGCCACATGCTTTGTGTGTAAAAGAGCTGCCAGCTGTGTTTCTATGTGAAGTTAAAAAGGGAAACTGAAACATTACCGTAAGTCCTAAAATTGGTCTCATCTTACACAGGTACTATGGCTATACCTGGAGACCCTCTCTGCTTTCAGGACTCTACTCTCCTCCTTTGTGTCCTGCTTTAACAAAAGGGCTGTGGGTGTGACTGAGTAACTTCTTAAACACAAAGAGTGTGTCAGTCGATCGAGCGCTTTGATTGGTAGCCGTGGGCACAGGAATGGTTCTTCTAAATGAACACTATTCACACACACTTACCAATACTGTCAATAGCCAGTCGACCCAGTGGAGGGTAGTTACAGCGCCGGGCGAATTCAGGACAGTACCACACCAGGAGCTCCTGGCCCGGCTGCAGGGGTGTGATGGTGTAGAAGTAGATGTTTAACCCGCTCTGGCATGCCACCAGGTTCTGCTCCTGCACAGAACAGGCTGGGTTGACGTAACGCATCCAATTGCTCTGCTCCTCGTTCAAACCATCCAGGATGTGGTGTAAATGCCCCTCTAAGAAGACCTAGAGTGTGAAACACAACAAGAGATAAGTTGGTTGATGGTGACATGCCCTGAATATGGTTAAGAAATGTTCTTTCAGCTGAGATAGGGGTGTGAAGTCGTAGGAACATCACTGTATGACTGGATTGTAGTATTGGGTGTACTATCTGGCCCATTCAAGACCTCACACTCGCCTTCGTTGTGAAGTATTGCTGACCTTTTAAGAAGCAATTTAAATTCAACTTCATTTCCCCTCTTTACAACGGTTCTTTATGCTATCTGCTCTTTGTTGCTGTGAGTCATGGCTGTAGTGCGAACACATTGTCTGGGTTATGGCTGTCGCAAGTTTTGGTTAGGGTTGCATGAATTCATGGTTGCTGACTCTAAACTGTAGAATTACACGGGCGCTTGTGTGTAATGGAAGATGTCCTGATGCTGCTGATTTGTAACATAACAGTTCTCAGGCTCAAAGCCACTTCCTTGCTTAGTCAGTGTGAGAGTTTATGAGTCTGGAGCTCGCGGACATGTGTACGGTGTATTTACTGGCAGTGATACCGAGAGAAGCGGAGTGAGAGGAGAACCGCTGCGTCACTGAAACCAAACAGCTGTGTGTGTGTGTGTGTGTGTGTGTGTGTGTGTGTGTGTGTGTGTGTGTGACCTCAGGCAGCCATGCAGAGAACTGGCAAACGCACATTTACACTGCATGCACATTTAACCTATTTGACCTAGCAGGATTGAAAGGGACTCAAGCAATGACAGAACAAGTGATACTTTCACAGGATGTCAGGCGTTTGACCACATCTGCTTACCCTCGCCGCGCCACAGCGACCACAACGTCTCCACATGGAGATGAAGGATGTGAACAGAAACAAGACAAATTTCACTTGCAAGCATTCAAACCCAGAAGACCCACTTGCAGCTCACTTACCCTCCAGAAGTACTTCCTGTCGGGATCTTTCGGTAGCGTTTCGTTGGTGTAGCTTTCCCCCACCAGAGGGCCAAAACGTGTTCCCTGAGGAATCAGCTCCTTACTGGTCACCCCAAGCACCTGTTCAACAAGAAGGACACACAATCGTCAAACAACAGAGTGGCTCACAAATTGAAGGCCAGGGCAAACCCCGGATGCTTCAAAACTTAATTAGAGGGATGTGATTCTTGGCAATAAAGTTATTTCTATCTGACTCAACACCCTGTGCTGGTTTCTTGGTAAATAATCAAAAAGGATCTGGTAAATTCACTGGAAAATTACTAGGAACAAAGCAATGTGTAGTTATTATTATACATTGGCTGTCAGGAAAACCCTTCCTAAGAGACAATAGTGAATGCTGCTGGTCTGTGACAGAATGTTTCCGTCTCTTCCCATGCTGAATATTTCATAAACCAATCGCCCACCTTATCTTTAGTTTCTCTACCATTAAAATTTCACCACCACTCTTGTTCTGCTACCTCCAGGTGTGAAACGCACCCCTCTGTCTCAAGCCTCCAGGGTGCGGAAAGGAGGATAAGGTGTCATGGGCACACCCTGACCAGTCTACGGCACGCTGATCCCCCACTCAAATCCCCTAAAGCAATGTAGGTAATGTAGTCCCTCTTTCATCTTGGAGCAATACTGGCATAGTGTATGTAGCAAGATCAACCACTACATGTTTAGCCATTGAGTTTATCTCGTGTTTGACCCTTGCTTTGTCAGACTGCTCCACTTGTGTCACAGATAACTGTAAAACGCATCCTGCTCTTTGGTGTCAACCAGACTCCAGACAGACCTTATTAGAAGGTCAAAGTGGTGTTACAGGTATTTAGCCGCATACGCTGAGGCTACTTCCTCTTATCTCGCCTGACAACCATCTTTCATCTGCAGAGGCTCAATCCTTATCTTGCGCAAGGAAACACAATATTTCCTTTTTTATGGATAGCCCATTGGGTTAACCTTCTATCATTCATTTACCTCTGTTATCTGCCATTTACTACCCAGTTAAACAAAACAAATGTTCCCCTTTAATAATTGCAACTTCCACACAACTAATCCAGAAGACTGGTCACATTGTTTTCCATTAGGTGGGCCTTGGTGCCATGCTCTGCTTTATGGTGTAATTGTGTGCTGGGACAAAGGGTTGGGAATCGGAGGTAGCTACTAATCATAGAGACCTCAGGCTGTGTGCTGAGGGGCTCGCCTTTCTTAAGCTTTGCCTCAACACAGAGCAGAGAGGAAAGGCTGAAATTAGACAACAACATGTCAAGTACTTCCCGGATGAGTGGATGGAAGGATGTTGGAGTGACGCAAGGAGTCGGCAGTTACTCAAAACATACTTGCTTACTACTTGTGTATATTAGGATTTTTTGCCTCTGCCGTGGTTTTTGTAAGAACTCCTTATCTAGGCAATTTGAATAACACACAGACAAGGAAAACATTATTTGCTGCCTACCTCTGTGGAGTTGTGGCAGCGCTTCAGGGCCAGGTTTCTGGGTAAAGATCTCTCGGCTCGTGTCTTGTTCTTGTTTTCGGACCCTTCCTCCAGAAGATGGTCCTTCACGATATATGTGCACTTCTCCTCAAAGTTTGCCTCGCTCCATGATGCCATGTCTGCGTCCTGTGTCTCTGGCATTGCTGTTGCGATGACCCCTGTGCTCTGCGGTGAGTTTTCTGATGTTAACATGGCTGTGGTGCACTGAGAGGAGGAGGCCTACAGAAAAGGAAAAGTGGGAGAAAATCTCGTCAAATGTCTCAAAAAGCAGATTATCTTGCAATGCGAATTATGCTAATGCTGACTAAAGACTCTTTCCTTTGACGTTTTATCTTTTATATTTCAATATAAGGAGAACAACACAGACAATTCAAACAACAGCCAAAGTACCCAGGGAATTCAAGTTTTGTATGGAGCTAAAATTAGATTACAAATTGTGAGATCTGACACAAGTCCCCAAGTCGGGGAGGAGAAGTGGTGGAGAATTCAACTTTTCCATCAACAGCTTCTACAGGACAAACAAACTTCAAAGTTGAACCTTCATGCCTGCTGCCCCATTGCCCCCACTGTCCCATACATCCTGTGACTCTCCAAAACCCCAACCCCTGGGCTATAAGGGAGGTTCCTGTGCACGTCAGCCCCGGAGCAGGAGCACTTTCACAAGGAAATCAGCGCTCCCAGTGAATCAAGCAGACTTCCTCTGAACTGACTGAGACTTGGCACTCAGCCAGGTCTAAAGTGTCTTTCTCTTTCTCTTACTGTCTATCGGTCCCTTCTCAGGAAGATTGTTGTCAGGCACCTCAGCTCTGACAAAGGTATACTTCCCCGACTGATGGGATAAACGATAAAATAGTGAAAGAGAAGAAGATAGAAGACTTGTGATTGAAAGACAATGCTCAGATTTGCCCTCTCTGAACTTCCTTTTCCAGGCTCATCAGTTTGTCTCAGTGATAGTCATAGATAAGGTCTGACCGACCAAACTCAGAATTGAAGTGGAAATGTTGGTATTTTGAATGCCATACAATTCCATAAACCTGCACTATTATTTACAAGCAAAGTCTTACTTTTTTTTGCTTAAATTAGGATTACATTTCCCCTTTTGATGTTGTTAAAAAAGTTGTGTTAATCAATCTAAAAACAATTTAAAGCTCACACAGTAATCTGGCATTGATATGCACTAATGGCACAAATGCTGCGATAACAAAATATCTCATCTTATTCTCATGGAGGGAAAAAAATGCAGATAGAAGTGCGAGAGATGAGATTTACGGACGACATTTCCCCCCCTATGTTTCTCTGAAGTGTGGTCACCACAGCTGACTAGAAATGACTGTCACAAGCGTGACAACTCACTCCGAAACCATCCAACCCAGTGACACAGCAGAAAATAAATTCTGAAAATCAAGACATGAGTCAAAGGAACACAGCTGTGTGGCTCGCAGGACAACATGTAACGGGTTGACTCTAGAAAGCACCTTACTTTGATATTATGTTACAAGGGACACCTTTGTAATGCAATAATAAATAAATAAGTTGCCAAGTTGAAAAATCACCCCAGTTCACACTGACACAAAATTAGAAGTAAGAAAATCTATTATACAGTTAATAAAGATTTGAACTTACTGTGAAGCCTTGAGAGGAGCCACACATAAGGCAGGCTGTCGGTGCCCTCCTTGAAAGCTTTAATGTGAGTGAGCAACCAGTGGCTGTCCTCGCTCTCTTGTCCTCTCTCTCTCTGTCAGCGTCTCTCACCCAACCTCAGTATCCTGTGTACCTGTGTGTGACTGGCCGTGCAACTGAACACTCAAGTGTGTGACTGTTGCTTCTGGGAGGAGGGAAGGTGTGTGTGTTTGAAATCAGAGAGAGAGAGAGAGATACACTCCCTTTTCCTCTTGTGCTCCCTCCCCCTCCTCCCCTTTGCCCCCAAGACTCCTCCTTGGAGGGTGTGTGTGTGTGTGTGTGTGTGTGTGTGTGTGTGTGTGTGTGTGTGTGTGTGTGTGTGTGTGTGTGTGTGTGTGTGTGTGTGTGTGTGTGTGTGTGTGTGTGTGTGTGTGTGTGTGTGTGTGTGTGTGTGTGTGTGTGTGTGTGTGTGTGTGTGTGTGTGTCACTCTCTTGCCCCGGGGCGTGAGGCTTTCTCCGGTGCACTGCGGTACACAGCTATGTCCGGATCAGACAAATACATCTTCATTTTCTGACAGACACCCGCTCCATCTTTTGGGTGATAAGAAGGCATACCTGTGTTGTGTTCATTAGTCAGGGACACAGCACAGAGGAAATGAGGTCATTCTGGTGCTTTGTTAAGTGTGAAACAAGGTTTGGAAATATCGATTGAGTCCAGTTCAAATAAGTTCAGCTAGAGCGTCATACAGTAGGAGATCTTGTTTGAATGCAGGGTTAAATGCTGCACACCATATTTTCACACCATAAACCACATAGAAATGACAACAGTTCCTGATCTGACACTTTCAAATTTAGAGCACAAATGTCTCATCCTACAACATTGTTTAGTGTGTTCTGCAACTGACGGCCATTACAAAATTGCTAAAATGAAGTTGGTTAAGAGACACTTATTGAATACAAGAAAATATAATATCCAACTTTTCATCACAGCAGCAGACTGAAATATGTCCATGTAGTCTATCAGTGTTGCCTGTTTGACTCACCTATACAGATATGTGCCTCGGAAGTCTTACCAGAGATGTGGAGCAGAATTACTAATGTGAAACTAATCACAATTCTTGATATTTATTTTATGTCTAACTATTACCTGGAACAAGTAATCTACCACAAAAAAGAAAAGAAAGGTGTCTCTTTAAAAAGCACATTTAAAAGAAAAAACGTTAATCTGCCCATTCTTTTTTCCTCAATTAAATTATTTGGTTGATGAAACATCACAATATCCTATAGTACAAGCTCATCAAAGCAGCACAATACTAAAGGTTCTCGATAAACTATTACGTATTGTCATAATAAATAATTGTTTACTACTGCTCAGAAAAGATGTGGACTCTTGGAGACACATAAAATAACTTTTCCTCGTGATATTTACTTATGATCATCCGTTTTTTTTATTTGAGAGATGTTTAACTCTTATCCAAATTAATTAATTTGGTATAAATCCTACATTTCAATAAGTGCATGTATCATAGTATATAATAAACAACCATTAATACCATTAAAAAAACACTAACGGAAACTGTGCCATCTCTTAAAATACAGATAAATGAATACTGTTGAGGTTGTGTTACTGGGTGCAAGCGGGGACATTTTTACCCTGAGTTTTCCCTTTCAGGAAACTTGTGTCCAGCTGTCCTTCTGTGCTGCTCTGTGGGGGTGAGATTCAGAATGTGTTGATACTTGTGCGATGCTGTTAGTTCGTATGTAGCCTGACTTTCACCCCGATCTGCTCCCCCCTTGTTCTCTTTTCCAAAAGCAACATTTAACTTGGCAAGCTGCCAGGCAGCCAGCCGAAGAATTGTCTGAATCTTCAGACTTGTTATCCACGCGTTTGACACGCGACATAGTGCAAACAACTTATCATTCATAGGTGCATTTGCAATGCACACTGTTCCCATTCACTTTCTCTTGTTGCATTGCCATGTGTCGAGTGGATTCTGTTGCTCATAGACTCTCCTTGGTTGGCTGTTTTGTCCTTCCTTTCATGCTTCCTGTCCCTCTCATCACACCTGACCAAGCTGCTAATTACGGCTGCTGACATGAGCCACCATGTAATTTAAAATCCACTTCTCTCTTGCTGTTCGGCTTTTTCTCTTTGCCTTCAGACATCTCATTCATCACCTTCTATTCACCTCTTCTCTCCTTCGCCCCTCCCCTTCCTCTGCCTCATTATCTGAAGCTTTTCTTTACTACATCTATTACTCATCTTCTGTGTGAGTAATTCCCATAACGATAACATGACCTTTTCTTATTAGTCGTGGAGCGGACTCTGAGCCGAGATTGCTCTCAGAATTCTGGTTTTGTGTGGGTGGATATTTTTGTGCGTGGCTCTATATAAGTAGGTAGTTGGCTTGGACTTCCAGATATTTTACATGACATTCTTAGAATGACAGGATGATGAACATATAACAAACATGAACTACCTAGAGGAAGTATATTTTACTATGTAGGACAAGAAAAACAAGATCACAGAATGAAAATGATAGAGACATTGAGACAATACGATTTGATAGGTTGCATTGTAGAAAGAGAAGGCAACACAGGATGTGCCGGCAACACCTATACTGTTGTTGAAAAGTAAAATGGCAGCACTCATAGATATATTCTGTATTTCTTCTAGCAGCTACGCACCAACATACTCACTCCTAGCGGGTCTCAAACCATACAAACTGTTTCAGTGTGACTTGTCCATCTTTGAGTCACCAGTCGTTGAGATGACTGTCTTTACTGATTGAACTGATTTTCTGATGTGGTGCGCACAGCATTTAATAACTGCATTCATTCATGTATTTAAATTATTTTGGTTAATCCATGTTCTACCCATCAACTCACTAACAACAAATATCAATGGCAGAAGGTACAATATGTAAAGATGTATAGTTTTTGTTATAGAAAATATGTGGTAGCTGTTGAATATGCTATACACAATAAACTATAAACAATAATTCCATATAGCTCCATTGCACTGAGGTGAAGAGATATCTTTTTTTTTAAAGGCAAATAAAACTGAAGCCACTAGTATGTTTAGAAAAAGTAAACATGTGTTTATGTATGTTTGCTCTGACGACAGCTTATAAGGAAGGGAACATTTGCATTTTACAGTTGACAGAGGACACTGTTAGTAGTTATCAATGAACCAGAACACAGAGAGCCTGCTTGCACACAGGCTGATGGTGCCTTTGGGGCCTCTGTAAATGCTGTAGGTGTCTTAAGCCCTATAATTTCCATGCTTGAGTCTGTACCTGCCTTGGGTCATTTCTCGCAGCAGGACTAAAGGGCGGCTCCTTCCCCTACACCCCCCCCGTGGATGAGGACAATGATCTCGACAGAAATGGCTGATGCAGAGCCCATTTTATAACCCATTACAGCTGAAATGTTTGACGCAGCCTCCAACTCTGCCTTTCTTAAAGTTTTATGGCTGACGCAAATGGAACTATTTCGCATTCTGTCCAAACTTTATGTCACAGTCTCTCATGCATGTTCCCCTCACTTTTCCCTGCCATGCTGTGCTATTATCAGCCTGTCAGCCCCCGTCAACCTCCCCTTCCATTTAATGTTACTTTAAGTGATTTCCTTTACCCTTCACTCTGTTCAGCTTGTGATGGAGAAATCACTCATACAGTCTTTTTTTGACATGACAGGAGCAATATGAACTTGATGAATATGTTTTGAACAGAAAAACAGTGACGTAACTTGTCTCTCTCCATCTTTTTATCTATCCTGTTTTCCACTTTAGGTGTGAATGTGAATAAATGTCAGCACGGCATCATAGCCACCACCCACCCTGTCTACCAACCGTCTTCCTTCAGCCGGTGGATGATCTCCTGTTGACAGGCCAAGGGTTATTATCATGGTTTCAGGTCTAAGAGGAATGCTACTGCACTTCACAACAGATGTCTTTTTAAATCCTCACAAAAACCACCCACAGAGATGAGGAGAAAACGCTATCACTGTACTCAGCTGACCCAGAGTGTAGACGTCTGTAACCTGCCAATGAAAGGTAATGTCCAACGCTTACACACATGGACCTAAAGAGACAACACTTGCACAGACGGTTTTCCAGGAGGCAAAAAGAGGATTTCCAAGAAATGATTAACATTTAAATGTCCAACCAGTATACTGCTAAGTTGACGCCAGCAAATAAAGTCAATTAAGTTACCATGGATATCGTTTTTTATACTTTAACTTCAATTTGAGTCGTACAACAACTGTTCGGCTCAGAGTGTGAGTGTACACATAATGTGAAAGCTGCAGGAAGGAAATCTACTTTTCATACAGAGCTGTCGGCTGTCAGGTTAAAAAAGTCTGCAGTCTGCAATCACCTTCCGATCTGGAACATTCTGTCATATGTCATTTCTGTTCCACAGTGTTCACAAACTTCGTTCTGGATCGACTGGACGAGCGGCTACTTATTAACACTGCTCTAGTAAAGGACAGTTCTTCAAGGCTATTCATGAAGGCCATTCATAGGAAAATCATCTGCATGTCACAATAACCACATGCATGGTAACTTCAATCAATACATTCTTGTTTTTCTTAGTTTGGCTTGATACAAATGTGACAAGCATGCAATGCACCACAGTAGTTTCACAAAACACGTACTAGCATTTTTTCAGTGCTTTCAGCCACATTTAAATAATCTTACACTATCTGAAGATTCAAATAACGTTTGAGAACAACTTGATTTTGCTTTTACATTCTGTTAGTTTTTCCTAGTCTTGCAAAACGTGTATATACATACAGCATAAATACATATTTAAGTTTCAATCAACCACCTATAAGCACACACCAAAAACACGTATTTATTTTGTAAGTGCATGAAATGGATTGGTGTCTTATCACCACTACCCTGTCTTGTGGTTTAGCAATAATGTCATCATACTGGGTATTTTATGTCAAGTGTTTCCTTTTTCCCACACTTGCTTTAAGTTCTAGCAGCCCTGTTTATCAGCCATATCAAGAGATTACTAACA